AAGTTTGCGGCATAAAGGAACCAAAATTTTGTCAAATGGTAAAACCGACATTCTTGTCCAAACTTAAGGCTTATTATGACATTATCCTTTTTTTTTTTACCATTTTTTGATTTTATTGAAGGCTGGTGAGACACACAAGCAAATACATCAAAACTCGAAAGAAGGAAAATAAAAAGGAGACACATGCGTGATGTGCAGATAGTAGCAACATGAAGAACGGAAGAGACTGGGATGCTTTTTCGGATGGAACAATCAAATGATTGGAAAAACGGACCTGGAATATCAACGCTTGTAGATTTTAACGAGCGAACGACATAAAGGAACCAAAATTTTGTCAAAGGGTAAAACCAACATTCTTGTCCAAACTTAAGGCTTATTATGACATTATCCCTTTTTTTTACCATTTTTTGATTTTATTGAAGGCTGGTGAGACACACAAGCAAATACATCAAAACTCGAAAGAAGGAAAATAAAAAGGAGACACATGCGTGATGTGCAGATAGTAGCAACATGAAGAACGGAAGAGACTGAGATGCTTTTTCGGATGGAACAATCAAATGATTGGAAAAACGCACATGGAATATCAACGCTTGTAGATTTTAACGAGCGAACGATGAAAGATCCAAAAAAATCAAAGACGATCCATAGAAGATGAAGTTGGGAATTGATCGAATCTGTGAGACTTTGAAGAAGAGAATGATGTTCAGGTGGCGCCGACATCTGAGCAATCCCCTTCTCTTTTTGATCTATGTTTTTCTCAACCTGGTGAATTGAAGAAGATGCTGACATGAAACGAGTCTAGGATTCGCTAGAGCCCTAGATATGAAAGGAAGAACACGTGAAATAGTCAATAGTCAATCAATAATGTAATTTTGTTTCCATAAATCTAGTTGTTTAATTTGGAATTATATTCTATAATACAGGGAAATGATTAAAAAACTTTTTATTAATTAAATTTAAATAAAAAAGATTATATATTGATTGGACATGAATCAGTTTCACACTTTGTTTACATATGATCCTAACTCTCTCTCTCTCTATATATATATATATATATATATATATATATATATATATATATATACACACACAGACATTCCCTCTCTTCAATGATCATATTTCAAAAAAGAAAGTTTGAAACTCATTTAACTATTATAAAAAATACATCTTTATAACATTTCAAAAGCACACCTCTTCTTCCATTGAACTCTTTAAATTTCATTCTCATTTTTCTGTTAAAATGAATGTTAGGACAGTTGAAATATGCATATAATGATCCAAACAAGTAGAAGTGATGTTGGCAAAAACATACATTGATATTCGAAAGAATAACAAGATAAGTCAACATATATTGTCATATTTTTTGGAACAGTCCTGAATCATTTTAAGTTGCAACTTCGGGTTCAGATCGTTCAACGTATCAAATTGCTTTCAAATGGAAAAATATTAATTATAGAGTTTAATGTTATTTTCACTCACAAGATGAATACCCGGAAGCCTGGAGTTTTCGACAGTTTTAAACGTAACAAAAAATGAGTATCGCGAACACCAAAACATAAAAGATTTTTGTTATGAGTCAGCATGAAATATTTTAAGAATCACCCTTATTTTTCTGGATTTGGTATTGTAGTTGGATTTAATTTACTTTTTGTAGTATTTTAAGTATTTCTTTTCATTATAATTTTCGTTTTAAGATTTAATTTAAGTTTTATGGTAGTGTTTTCTAATTAAATGTTATTTATTATTTTTTATTTTATTTTTTTGTTTTAATAGGAAAATCTTAATTTATAAAATATAGGTTTACATGTATTGTATGTTGGATGATAAATATAAAAAAAATGAGAAAGGAAAAAATGATACAAATGATATGACAAATGCCTAATAATATTCTAAAAAACTAAGAAATAAAACATTAAAACTAGTATACTCGTGGTTCCAATCAATTCCAAACTTTTGGAATTGGCCTTTGGTTAGATCGGTTTCGGTCCGGACTTTGCCGGTTCCTAACTATTACCTAATCTCGACGTTAGTGTGCTTTTGATGTTCACCCTAGAAGCAATTTGTATTTCTAGGGACTAAACATTAATTTTCCATACTTGAGGTGCATATTTAGAATATACCGTCATAATTTAGGGACTATAATGAGGTGGGAAATAGCTTTGACTTAAATAAATAGTAAAAAACTAATGGCCCCTGGTTGGAATTAGGGCTTTTTGTTGAATATCCCAGTATCACATCATCATCCCCATTTTCTCACTCACTCTCACTCTCACTATCACCTTAATCGCTGAAAATGGCGGAGCTGCTCTCTCCGTGACCTGGTAATCTCTCTCTCTCTCTCTCTCTCTCTCTCTCTCTCTCTCTCTCTCTCTCTCTCACACACACACACACACACACAAACAAGGATGAGTTCGATTTCACTTTGACTTGATTTGAATTGTTTACAAGTTTCCCTCTTATGATAATTTTATAAGTTTAGTAATTTTGGGATTTTGGATCTTGGGATCCCGAATGTAGTTCAAAACTTTACAATTTTTATAATTGAACTCTTTTATTTGACGATGCAGAAAAGGGCTACCTCGTAGTTTTCAACTGGAAGTGCGAGACTGCGAGCAGAAACTAGGTATTTTCCAAATTATTTACCTCCTTTGTTTTCACTCGATTTCAATTTCCATTTTTGTGATCTTGTAAGCTTTTAAATTAAATGTGTGTAAGATTTGAATGTTGCTGAAGTTATAGCTGATTTCAGTATTCGAATTGCTCAATTTACTCATGAACAGTTTATGTATGATTTTATTCATAGAATCTATATATGATTAGCAGGGGCTTCCAGTTCCGAGTTGATGCTACAATGGCAGAATACGAGAGCAGTCACCATAACTACACCATACCAAAAGAAACGGCCTTACAAGCTCTAAACACCATAATCCAGCTTCACTTCGAGAAAACCCTAGAAAAGAAACGAGCTGTAGACCTACAAAAAAAGGAGCTATGGAAGCTTTTCCAGTTCTTCTTCCTGTTCTTAGCTCTTGTATTTACAGCTCAGGTTCAGTCCACTCGGCTCCAATGCCGCCATTGTTGGGTACCCATTGGTCTCCTCTCTTTCTCCCACCTCATCTTCTATGTGTCAGTGGCTCAGACACTGAGGTGCATCAATGGGTTCAAGTATCAGAGGAGGTGCCATAAGTTGACACTTGGATTAGCCACTGAGCGACTCAGGCAGATTAGGATGAGGATGAGCAGCAGCAGCAGTGTGGTGGCCGGAGGTGGTGAAGATGTTTTGAGGGATGATTATGAGATTCATTATCAAGAGCCACCGGATACTTATTTTGGTAAGTTTAAGAGGAATTGGGCTTTGCATTTTGGGTTTTTGATCTTGATTTATATTTTTATGGTGTCTTCTTCTGTTGTTCTTTTATGTTTCTAGGATTTGTAGTGAAACAATGAATGGAGGATTGAGATTTAGTTTAATCAATGTGATATCTTTTTATCCTGATTTTTGGTAACTAATGGATTTATATATCATTTTTCATATGTATTGCTTAAGGAAGGCTTAATAAAATGACTTTCACTAAAAAAATTGTAAGTTTGAGTTTTATTTTGGGCAATGCTCAGAAAAATTCAACATTTTAAAAAACCATTATGTTATTTCTGTGTCTTTAAAACAATTATTATTGTTATCATCATTTTTTGGTTAAATTAGTGTTTCGCAACCTGATATGTAATTAAAAAAATTACATGCATTATTAACATAAATTATAAAGCATATGTGGAATGGCAATCGGAAATTCTGGTAATGTTTATATCAATATGATAACAATTTTCTGGAATTATTAATTTTATCAAAATCAAATCAAAAAATATAATGAATATATGTACGAAAATAGCATAATGAGTTTTTTAAAGTATTAAGTGATAATTAGTCGGGTTCTTTTCAGTATTGCCTTTTATTTTTGGATAATATATCTAGAACGCTTTTAAAGTTGGTCAAAAGTTTCAACAGTCATTGAACCAAAAAGAATGTTAAAAAGGATCTACCCAACTTTCCAATCGCAATCCGTGTCATGTAGCCAAAATGGCGACAAAGACAAAAATATTCTTTGACTTCAACTTAATTTGTTGTCTAGCATAAATCTTTTTACAGCACTTTATAGTTGGAAAAAAAATATTTAAACGTTAGACCGTATTTTACGTAAGTTACTAAAAATTACATATATTTAAAATTCAATCACAAACACTACCGAGTGAGTGTATTTTTAAAGAAATAGGTTTACTGAGTGATACAATAATAACTCTTAAGTTCTTTCATTTTTTCTAATTTGGGTAACTAATTATTTTTCTTACTAATTATGTCACAAAACTTAAATGTTGCATGTTATTCAGATCACGATCTATATAGCAAAAATAAAAACAAAAATTGCTACTCAAATTAGCAATAAAACGATAGTTGGTTGATATATAACATACATATACGATGAGTGTTGGGTAAAGAATAACACATAATAACTATTTTCACATGAAAATGTCACAATGCATGTGACAACATAACACGCCAAACATTCTCTCGAATCAAAAGGATAACAAATTCCCAAATCAATTCTTAATTTCATTAAATTAAATCCCAAGAATCATACACAATCAATCTTACAACTGTTTCCACTATGAGAGCAATAGATCTACTAAATGGTATACAAAAATGAATAACTTCCAAATTCTTTTACCAATCGTATAAATTAACTTACGCGTTCTTGCTATATCAACACGGAGTTAGGGAAAATACTTTTAACTACATGATATAATATAATATAATAATAATAACAATAACCCTAATCTGATTAATTTTATAGCTTAAGATCTCATATCCCATAAATAAATAAAAAATTAAATTTAAAAAAGCTGCGAAAGGAACTTAACCTTCTGGTGTTTCCATATATATATATATATATATATATATATATATATATATATATATATATATATATATATATATATATATATATATACTCAGGTCCAAATATCGCCTGCCTATTCACTTCCACTACTGTATCGCCCATCTGTCAATGTCACAAATTATTAGAATCTGACTTAATGGGTTAACCCAAATAAATAAATAAAAAAATAAATTGATCTTACTTCCAGAATGATTTTTTCCTTCCATGGCTTCTCTTTTCTCTTGACAAGTTACACAAAGAAAAGGGCCATCCCATGGTCTTGAATTGCGTGTGTTACATGATCCCCCCGTGTGTATTGAAATACCCTCACCAGGTTTCATTTCCACTTGACAAACCGCACATGTGAACAGTTTAAACATGTTACAAAGCGGGTATTTTGTATCGAACCTGAAATTGGAAAAAAAGTAAAAACAATATATCAGATATGGAAGGAATGGAATGGTTGATTCCATTCCGATGATAATGTAACGGAGTAACGGACCTTTCGGAAAGCATAGCGGATCCTTCCTCTACGAGCTCCTCCACTACATCTGGCTCCAGATATTCTTCACCAATATGAGATGTTGACTCGGTGCTTTTTCTCTTAAAAATGGCTTTCACTTTAAATACTCCTTTTGTCATCTTCTTGTGTTGGGGCATGGGGGGCGGATTCGTCTTTTCCGCTGGTAGAATGTCAACCACCACGCACGTTGTATCGTCACGTAATCCTTTCGGTTGTACAGCTTCCTATTAAAAAAAAAAGAGAGAATATAAAACTAGATGTTTACAGAAACATGAATGTTGACTAAAAGTAAAAAGACGATTATGCCCTTACTTTAACAACTTGACCGGCGGCTGCATCTGGCGGCATTCCACGACAGCATTCTAGAGCCGCTTCTGCTGATAAAGCATCCCATACGCCATCACTTGCAATGATAAGCCTTCCACCAGCAGATGACAGCTGCAGGTTTAAATCATGTCATATACTAGTCTACTACCAGAAGGGTATTTACGTCTTTTTTGCATGGTAGTGAAGTGAAATGAATTTTACTTACCTTGACTTGCTTAATGTAAGGAATAGGAACTATAAACTCTCCAACATCTAAATCTCCAATAGATCTTGAAAGACACAAGCCACCAGGCCAACATCTCAAAGGACCAATCTGCCATGATAATTGACATAAACAGAAACAGTAAAAACTCAATTTAATACAGACATTTATATATTTGATAGCATAAAAGGAAATAAAGTTATAAATGACTGAAAAAATCAAGATTAAAAGATTCATACCTGCGTACCACCACCTGTATTTAGCCTACCAACCTCACCACCACTTGCAGTGACACGTTCTGTCCTGCAAAATTAGAAAGAAAAAAAAAAAAAAAACATAAAAATCATAATACTGTGTTCAAACTTCAAACTTCAAACTTCAAAAAGTAAGTTAACATTAACAGATTAACTTACTCTTCTTCATTGTCCTCAAATCTGTGATCTGCTGATAGATAATATAGGCTCCCATCTGCAGATTCAAGTATACAGCGGGAATCACCAACTGATGCTACAGTAACAATGAATCCTTCAATAATTACAAAGGTCACAGTTGTTCCTGACAGTTGACCTGCAATCGTTCATCACCATATTTAAGCACCATTCCACATATGCACAGTGTTCAGATTCAGATGGAATTGAAAAAGAAAGACGTGCACACCTTTTTCTTGGAAATCTTTATCTGTTTTTATAAACCCGGCCACCAGAGCCCTAGGCAATGCTGCAATCCATTCTTCTCGGTTAAGGTCTGCTGGAATAGCACTCAAGACATTGTTTAAAAGATTCTCCTTGGTATATATAGCTGCTGCAGCCCCATTATGGCCATCAAGTATCTGCAAATACAAGTTTTGTAAGATCACCATCACCATCACCATACTAAAAGAAAACTAGAGGTAACATATCTCTAAAACCATCACTTGTTTCGGAATCCTTCTCAATTCATATGAAATCACCAAATTGGGAGATTCTAGTGAATTACAGAAAATAAGCTACTCATCAATCTCATTAGAGAAAGCTTAGAGAGAGATAACGTACCCCAAAAACGGAATACGTAGTAACACCATCTCCCAACACGCGTTGGCATTCGCTCTTGATGAGTGTAAAATCTTCCCCTTTTTTGGATTGGTTGGCTTGACCACTAACAATTTCCGGCCTCTCGATCTTTTCATTTGCCAATTCACGCTTCAGCAACACCGATAACGGGACCGTTTGATGCTCGCCTTTATGGGAGGACATTTCCTCGGTCCCTTCGAAAATCCAGATTTATAGAGAAAATATGAATATATTCTTCAACTCTGCGCCCTAGCAATAATATTTCAAGCCTAAAGCCTTCCACCTGCTCCTATTCGATGATCAGATTCTCAACAAAATCCTACAATACCAAAAGATCCATTATAAAACAAACCACTAGATTAAGCATCAGATTCAATTTCAACGAAGTGTTTACATCGTAATTTCAAACTTTCAATAAATCAAACACGGAGAAGATGTGGATTGGTGTATCAGAGCCTAATTAACGAGCAATGTAGATGATCAAAGAGGAAGAACAACAAAGCTTTTGTAATGTATTTCGAAAGATTTAACGGAAAAAAAAAAACAAATTACATACAGAAATTCGTTGTAGATGACGAAACTCTCCAATGGCGGGTGCGATTGAATGTTGCCGACAAAAAAACGAGAAAATTGAAAGAAACCAATAATTAGAAAGCGATTAAGATTCGTAGCAAAAATTCCGCGAGAGGGAGAGAGAGAAGGAAGGATGCAAATGGATTTGTGTTCGTCTGTTGATTATTTGGTTTATTTGTTATTTCATTTTGGATGTTGATGTTATTTTCTCATCATGTGCGAATGCACCGTTTTCGGTTCGAAAAGCCGGCTTGGAGATGAGCTGAGCTGTGACTGACTGCGTCGTGAGTTGTTTTTTATGTCTTTTTATATATTCTTTGTTTTTTTTTCAATGATTTGGATAATCCTAGTGGAATATTGGATTCGTTAGACATCTTTTTTTTATTTTGTTAAGTAATTTGGATAAATGATGTATAAAATATCTGTAAGGAAATGAAAATTCATGTAGGAAAATAAAAAAAAATAATAATAATAAATAAATGATCGGAAATTTTGTAAAAAATTATAATTTTACGGGAAAGTATGATTTTCTTGATTTCTTTGTTAAATTGATTTTATTCTTTTTAATTATGTCAAAAGAAAATTATTCCTTAGATTAAGTTATTTTTTTATTCGGTCTATTAAGTAATTAAGAAACAAAAATATAATGTGCATATTACTTTATATATCTATAAAGGTATTCGGTTTGATCATACAACCTTATGTACGACTCTTATTGCATGCACTTAAGACTATGAATCAAATGATTTTTTTCTGAACTCACCATCCAAAAATCCTCCATTGTTCCTCTTCTAAGGAATTATTAGGGTTCATAATTCAATCTTGTTTAACATATACAAGTTAGCATTCTACCCATCACATACAAGTTATTTTTGTCGCTGAACTTTTTTCTAGTGTTTTATTTTAATCATTATATTTTGTTTAAGTTGTTATTAGTCACTGAACTCATCTTTTTATTCGTTTTAGCCATTGTAAAGTTTTTCCATGTTGACATTACATGTCAGCATCCCCATTATATAATTGATGATGAGGTGGCTAGTTTTATTCATTTTAGCCATCAACACTTACGTACCCGGATTTGGGGTCACAGTGTCGTTTGTCTAATAATAATAATAATGATAATAATAATAATAATAAAACATCAAAATAAATCAATAATGAAAAATCACCCCGTAATACCAGTATAATGATTTATATTGCCAATATGAAAAAAGTAAGTAACCATATCACGAGATTATGGGTTATCATCGGTTAGGATGATCAAAATAAACAAAAAAATCAAATTAAATAACTAATGATAACTTGAATAAAATATGATAAAGAAAAAGTCAAAAAAATTAATAACATACTTTTTGTACTCCTTTTGTTTTTGAGTTTGACATATTATGACATTCATTCTCCATATTTGGGTAAAAGAATTACCAAAAGGGTGGGTCCTTCACGAATGCGTATTCTCCTGACCTTTGTGGCCAACAGTTCGGAGATTTGGTCAAAACCACATGGAGTGTAGTGCACAGTATCCTTTTTAACATGTTCGTATTTTCATTATAATATTTTTTTTGAGTTTTTTATTAAAAGAGTTGTATTTTTCTCAAATAAGATTTAGTCTTTTATGAAATATCGTAAAAAAGATGATTATATTGTCATATTGATTTAGTTACATAAAAGTATCTTAGTTTATCATTGTTTATAGTATTTAAATTATTTGATTAATATTCAAAGTTCCAAACATTTGTCTTAAATTACATGCATCATAAATCGTATCAATTTCAATGGAAATGAAACCGCTATACGTGGACCCATATGCAATAATATAAAATAATTGGGGGTTAAGTGGATGTTTCTATTTTTATAGGACACCAGCTGTAAGTTATGATAAAACGAGAACAAATTGCAAATTGACAAATTCTTCCTGATAGCACGGAGAAATATATGGAAATTATATGGTACTATAAATTTTGATGTTTGCCCATCTTCTTTAGATAAAATACATATTCAGCCCCTCGGTTCTTTGTGTATTATATGCAATGTATTTGTTTATGACAACCAGCTTAGTTTTAACTTGTTAACATGGTCACGAAAGTTTAAAAATTATTAAAAAAAACTTAAACTTTACAAAAGTTTCATTTGAGTTGATGTAATGATGTGGACCGAATGGATTGTCGTTCTTTACATTCAATTGGAATCAGACTAGAACCAAAAATGACAACTAACTTTATCCATATTATTATAAACGATAGTTTCTACAAAGTTCAAGTTTATTAAACTTTAGTAAAGAAACTAGAGATTAAGACAATGTACCACTAATTCTTGATGTTGTATATATATCTTTGTTTATACACACATGTTTTGTTTTTTTATGCCTTTTAATAAGAGAGTTTGAAAAATTGGTTAACATGTTATTAAAGGTTAAATTATCTCAAACCATAAATATTATGAAACCGTAAAAAATCACTAAAGGTTTGATTTTTTCACATGCCACCTAAATGTTGAAGTCTATGTTATTCAAACTAAAATATGAAGTTAATCAAATAAAGAGGAGTTGATAGGCTTTGACTTCATTCATCATCTAATTTTTAATATTTTTTCCCATGTATTCTTACCTAATTTTGTAAAATATATGTTGGTTACAAATATGCATTATGCTACTCATTAAGGGAGTTCTTTTAATAGACCGTGTCCATTGAACATAGATGAAAACCTAAAGAAATGAACTTGTAATGAATAGAGAATTGACATCGAATAGATGCATGACTCTTCATTTCTCTCTACAAACCGAGTCTTAATATGTAAAGTTCTTAACTGCACGAATAAAAATCTTTTTACCAACTTCCAGAAAATGTCAATAGACAGTTTATAATCAATTAACATTGATCTCTAATCGAATTAATAGTACGTAAGACGCTTAATATTTCAAAGTAGGCATCTAGTAATTTGTGGGTAAGGTTTTAGTTGGTTTTGGTTAGAGGGACTAAACTGTTAATTTATAAATGTATAAGGAGAAAGACTTCAAGTGGCCAAATAAGCAAAGGGTGTAAAGGTAAATACTAGAATATTATGATTTATGACTGGGCCAGCGGCGGAAAGCCCAATTATTCGCCGTTTTTGTTTGTTGGATTTGTGTCGCATTCATTGCCGTCAATTCAGAGTTAGACTTCACTTCGCCACCCTGTTACTTGGTATACGTTACATTAAACAAAATTTTTGATTTTTTTTACAAGTTTTAATGGCAAAAAATAAATACCCAACTTTATAATAAACTTTCATTTAGAATAATTCAATGATATTTACCAAGTTTATTGTCATTCTTCATCAAATTAAGTTTGACAACCAACTTTATCCATATTACTTAAATTTTGACCTTTTAAAAAGTTGAAGTACTTTTTTTTTTTGTTGATGATAATATATATTAACATTTAAACATTATAAAAATGTAAAAAAAAAAATAATAATAATCGTTTTCATTTAGTGGGGTCCATTTAGTTTACAAAAAATCACAAAACCCTTTTTGTTTTGACACAACTGATCCTTTTGGTTTCATTTTCTTTTGACCTTTGTCTTTAACTTTAAGTTAATGGAAGAAAGTGAAAAATGATTGAGTAGGTTTCTGGTTTTCCAAGCTGGACAAGGACTTGGACAGGGTTCATTCGCTTCACCCAATTAGCTGGATCCATCTGTTTCTTTCTTTAATACATACAACCCAACCCCACTCACCATATTTTCAACCCTCAATTTGCAACCATTTTTCAAACTTTCCAAACTTGAATACCCCAACATACAAAAGTAGAAATGGGCACTATGAGCCACATCACATACAATACAACTGGGCATGGCATAATTGTAATTTCATACTTGATAAATTACATCATTAACTAAAAGGCATTAAACCTTTGTTAGTCCTAAACTCTACATAAAAGAAACCAAACAGCACTCGATCAAATAATATCTCCAAAAATGTGCTGAATTTCATCCTACAAAGTAAATGGGAAAATGAGAAACAAAAAGGCGATTAATGGACAGTGAACAACCTGTAAGCATGTTTAGTTTTAGATTTTCAATCTCTTGAATTACTTTATTAAAAAAAACGAATCTATATTTTAATAATTATTAGTTAAAAGATATAAGGGGAAAAAGAAGTTACCCTTTTTGAAGTTATTTATGTAACATAATGAACAACCTGTAAGGATGGCTCTCTATGTACCAACACACATGGAAATACATGTGCAATTATGACATATATAGGTATAAACTTCATTCAATTCATCAAACCTACTGCTTAAAACAAAAATCTAGTCATTATGATTTATGGCTTTTGATTTGTCATAAAATATAACCATTTTTTTTTTTACTATTTCGATAAATAACCTTCGTATTCCAATAGGTCCACTGGGAAATCACTATTGCTGCGAAATTTACTTTATTGTATGGCCCCACAAAAATAATATTAAAAAACAACAAAAAATTATATACTGTGAATATTTTCTTCTAGCGAAAATCATAAACTTTTTATCAAACATTTTCTTTAAAGTTTTCTCTTTGAATTTTCAAAAACCATTTTCACGACATTGCAAAAATGAAGCGTTAGATTGAAATTTGAGAGATTTTCCATAAAAGGTGTAAAAAAGAATTTGATGGTTATTTTGTAGAAAGTGAAACTTTTTAGGTAATTTTGTGGCAAATAATATCCACATGCAAACCATAGAAAAATCAATTAGAAAGACTTGAGAATTACCTAAATTAATTTGTTCAATCTGTGCATAAACTTAAGCCTCCAAATCATCCTTTTCACCCTCTTCATCATAACCTTTGCACCTTATAATATACACCTAGAATGGCATAAATTTGTAAAAATGGCAATTGAACATATCAACATAGAATAATAACAATAATAATAATAATCAAACCTTAAAGACAGTAGGTTGAATTCGGTGGAAAACAAGTGCATCTCCATCTACCAGTTGATGATGAATGGAGAAACCCCTCCATCCACCACTAAGGCCTCCTTTGTGAGCCAAATACACAGTTGGAAACTCTTCACCTTCTTCATCTATCAATGTCACAGTGCAATCTGTCCTTGGTAGGCTTTTCCTGCAGAAATGAGTTGGAAGACCCTGTTTTATTAAACAATCAACATCAGTCACATTAATTAATATCTCATATTTTTTTTTTCATATATGCAACAAAGAAAAAAAAAAAAAGAACTAACCAGCCAAAATCCACCAGTTGTATGTGATTGAAGCATGGGTTTAACAAATGAAGGATGACCACCTTCAAGTTTAGCTTCTAGTTCTTCTGCTTTGTCTATTGCATAGTCCCTAGCTTCATCAGATGCATACACACGATTTCCCAAGTCCCTTCGTGAATAGCTATACCTTCTTCCACTACACAATTTTGATGCAAAAGAGAAAACTCAATGGGTAATCAAGATTCAAGAATCATACATGGAATAACTTTTAGGATAATTTACTAAAAGCTTACCTTCTTGGTAACTCAACTCGCTCGTAAACCACCTGCAACAAAAAAAGAAAACGCCCAAAAGGATCAAATAACTTTTGGGTCCAGATCGTTTCCAAATTTGTATGCAATGCCACAAATGGATTAAGCAAAACAATGGAGTTCAGAGGGAAAAAGGAGAAGAAACATACGAGTTCCTTGTAAACAGGGGCAGGAAGATGCGCAACACGACTTGACCTTCTGACCTCCACCATTTCTGTCCCAATGACACGAGGTTTTGTGCGCTTCATCTTTCATTGTTACACAAAACACAGAAAATCAAGTTTAGATCGCAATAAAAATCCAATATCGAGACACAATGCACAAATTAGGGCTCATTAAGCTTCATCTTACTGTTGTTACAGACAAGGAAAACCAGGTTTGGATCAAAATTAAGAAAACTTAATCGGTGCAACATTTTAGGCCTTTCATTGTGTTAATTAGGGATAAAAGGTTACTTTTACAATTGGTTCGTAAAACCCAAAGCTAAACCAATTACATAAACATATTTCATTATAGCTTGGGAAAATTCGAATCAAACACGTGTCTCAATAGGTCTAGGATTTTGTGATGGAAAATGTGAGAGTGTGTGTTGATGCAAACTGGTTCTCAGACAAAAAGAACAGAGTGAGAGAGACAGAGAGTAGGAAGAAACCGGAGAAGGCGTAGGGGAGTGAGCGGTTTTTAGAGCTTGAGTGAGCTGAGGAAGATGAAGCTCTTCCATCCGTTTCTTGTTCTCCTCCAACCTTTGCTTACGCAAATCCTCATAGTTTTTCTTTGAGACCACCATGTTTTTTCTGTTTCACCTTCTTCTTCGCTGAATGTTAGAGAGAGAGGGAGAGAGATATGATGGTGATGGTTATGGTGGTGGTAGTAGAATCGGCGAAGGTAATGAAGAAAGTTTGACTAGGGTTTCCTCAGAGTCGACCGTTAGAATTCATTCCAACAATTTGAAAAGGAATGTAGGCGGGTTTATGGACAAGGTTTAATTAATGGGAGCTGATTTTCCAAGACTTCTTCCACTGAATAATAAATTGATAGACTATTTTACCCCTCAACTGCATTTAATAATTGTGAATAACTAATATATGGAATATATGGAAGTGTTTTTTTTACCAATAATATAATGCCATAAATAACAAGATTTAATTTTTCACGTGAATATATCACTGAAGTAACATATATACCAAAATCTTTACTATTCAACTTGGTAAATAACGGATGCTCCGCAGAATATGAAAAGTCATGGTGGTACAGATGAACAAGGATCAACGGAAGTCGGAAGGAAAAAAAAACACTGGTGTGTGGCCCAACACATGAGCCGATAACCACCTTCTACGTATCTAATTTCCATGGATACACACACGAATTGAGAAACACCTTCCAGGAGTTCGGGACGGTAACTGAAGTATATTATGCCATGAAGGACTCTAATGGTTAAAATTCGAGTTTATAGGATTCAAGGGAGTTAAAGACATCAATGAGATGGAGAAAAAGCTAGACGAAATCAACCTTTGATGCGTAAGAACCCAGCTCCTCCTAAGCCTACCTCCTCTCATCGGTTTCCGGTTGGCTATGTCGCCGGTCACAAGGATCATGTAACACCCCGAATTCAGAAGACCTAGAAAAGAAAGGAAAACCTCAAGTCAAGAAGTCTACTCGCCGAGTCCAGAGGGATGACTCAACGAGTAGGAGTGAGTTTTTGTGACGCGAGTTAAGTGACCTACTCGACGAGTTGGTCTGGGTTTGGGAAACCCTAAAATTCGGGCTTTTGTCCCCTATTTAAGCATCTTATTCTCCATCTTTCAGCCCCATTCTCAGCCCCCACTATCCAAACCCTAATCCACGAAACCCTAGTGCCTCCCATGAGCTTGTTAGCCATTTATGAGTGTTATTGAGTGCTTGAAAGCTTGAAGAAGAAGAAGCCTTGGGGATACAAGAAGAGGCTAGTAGATCCAGAAACCTCTTGCACTTTTCATCATTTTCTGGTAAGAAAGTTCTAACCTTGATCATTATGCACTTAGATCTCTTCTTTGTCACCTTTGAGGGTTTTTGGTCCAAGAACCCTAGCATGTGAGAAATGGACGTCCCAAAGGCTTATGTTTTCAGATCTAGAACCATTAAGGGCTATTATAGCATAAAGGTGTAAGCTTTATGCCATAGGAGTCCCCATGCAAACAATAGAGTGTTCTTTTGGCCTCTTTAGCTCAAAAGGCCATGTATGGAAGGAAAAAGGTAGGAGCTTTGCATGGTTATGAGATGTTTGGGTCCAGATCTATGTTTGGATGCATTAGTTTGGTGTATGGTTGGCTTGTGGACCAAGATCTAGGCCCTTAAGAGTTAGGGTTTGAGTGATATCCTTTAAGTGAGGGTATTAACGGGTAAAGTTGGAAACTTTACCCTTCTAAGGTCATTTCCAGGGTGTATTCGAAGTTTGGAGTTGGGATATGAAGTATAGGGGCTTAACCCATTAAGTTAGCTCATCAGACTGAGGGACTCGGCGAGTCCAGGAAGGGACTCGACGAGTCGAGGTGGATTGTCCCGATTCTGTATATTTGAACTCGACGAGTCCGAGGAGTGACTCGGTGAGTTGATGGGATGAGTCGCGACCATGAGTATCCAGGAAACTCGACGATTCAGGGGTTGACTCGACGAGTTGGGTCGCGAATTCGGGATTTTGAGTTTTGGAACTCGACGAGTTAATGGAGCAACTCGGCGTGTTGAGTCAACTCGGTGCTTTGACTTTGACTTTGACCAAGGTTGACCTAGTTTGACTTATGAAGGTTTTTACACAAGAGTATGTGAGGGGTGGAATGGTCTTCTACCCCACTGAGGACTTATGATTAAGTTATAAGTATCCCAGACTTATTTAAGTTGTATGATGACCAGTAGCTCGGGAAGTTGAGAGATCAGCAGTTCAGGGATCTGCCAGCTAGCAGCGAGGGGTTCATTCGCGGGATTCAGCAGTCAGCTTGTGAGGTGAGTCTCCTCACTGTTTGTATGGGTCTACGGCCACAATGCCGACCCATTTAGCTTATGTTTGGTAGGAAGACCCGGGGGTTAGCCCTAGGCACTATGTATGAAAGACCAGGAGGTAGCTCCTGGCACCCAGTATGTTATTATGTATAACAGGAAGACCCGGGGGTTAGTCCTAGGCAATATGTATGAAAGACCAGGAGGTGGCTCCTGGCATACCTTATGCTCATTAGCTAAGTAGAGTAGTGAATGTTAGTTGTCTTTGTGATAATTACTTGGGTTTGTCACTATCTGATGTGTTTTATGAGCTATCATGGTATGATGTTATGTGATAGTGGTAGTAGGGGGAATAGTCCCCGGTTACCGGTTGATAGGGCCGAAAAGGGGTAGTTTAGTACCCAGCTATGCTAGACAGATTATGATATATGTGATATGAGATTATGTGGTAGTAGTAGGGGTGAAATAGTCCCCGGTTACCGGTCGACAGGACCGAAGGGGTAGGTTGGGCACCCAGATATGCCTGGCAGGGGTAGGTTGAGCACCCCGGTATGCTCAGCAGGGTAGGTCGGGCACCTAAATATACCTGATATGGGGTAGGTCGGGCACCCTGGTATGCCTGACAGTATGTGATTTGTATGGTATGTGGTATTTGGGGAACTCACTAAGCTTCGTGCTTACGGTTTACAGTTTTGGTTTCAGGTATCTTCAGCTTTCAAGAAAAGGAGCTCGGGACGATCGCAACGCATTTACCCATTTTATTCCATATTATGTGAAGTTTGGGATTAGACTCTGATATTTATTTTAGATGAAATGTTTTCAATGTTTGGGACAAAGTTATTAAGTGTTTTCTTATATTAAAAATGAAAATTTTGGCCTTGGATTTTGGGATGTTTCAGATCACAAGTCTTATGCCGACACCATCAAAGGCTTTACCAGTAACCCGCCATCTACAACTCTGAGCCAATTCATCTCAAGACCATACCTGGTAGGGTCTCATGGCTGCAGACATCAACTATCACTGGTGGCTTATACGTACGTAATCCTAAATTTCTATCACTCCCCGACGCAAAAGGATTCCTAGATAACCAAAACATTTGGAAAAAATGGCTCAAACGGGTGAAGCCAGGTGACCAATGTGAGTTACGTTTTGAAATAATTATATTGCAAGGTTAGAATTTTTTGGTCAGCCACTCCAAGCACTTGATGTAGTTATCTATGCCACCATTGCAAAACCAATTTGGAAGAATCGTTTCCAAATCATCGTTGACTCTAAAACATATAGGGTGGGTGTCATTGAAGTATTGGAGGACTGGTACCCTTTCAAACTCAGTCCACCTTGATGGTGTAGTTAATTTGAAAAAAAAAAATAGATATGATTATCAAAGTAAAGTAAATCTCAAATTTGGTGGAGTTCCAAGTTGCATGACAGCGGGGCCTTAATTTATTGTGAAATTCACTTCCATATATTAGTTATTCATATTCTTATCAAACTAAATGTGTTTAGGGGTAAAATAGTCTATCCATTAATTATTCAGTGGAAAAATAAAAATAATCCTTGGAAAAATCAGCCCCCTTAATTAATGGCTGGTAAATAAATCGCTGCACGATTTTATAATGGGGATGTATTTACTTTTTCAAGAGATATAAAATGGATATGTCTATAGTTGGTTGTAAGTTATATAATGATCTATCATCTATCACCAATTTAAACATTATAAATTAATTAATTTTGTTACAATTGAAATAAAAAAGAAACAATGGAATCGAACATCAACTCTTTTCTATACTTCACGTTTCCAAAAACCATCACATTCTGATATGTCCAAAGGATCCAAATCAAAGTATCACACATCGTCTCCATGATCAATCTTCTAAATTAGCTATGACATAACCATTAATCCACTTAAATAAAAGATCGACTGAATCAAACGAAGGCACAAATTGAACAACCCAAACCGCAAACTTCTCCCAAAGAGCTCGAGCTAGAGAACATTTCAAGAACAAATGTTCAATATCCTCCTCAACCTCACCACAACACATACATAAGATAGAAGGAAACTCAATTCCACAACTATCAAGATTACATCTAATCGGCAACCAATTAAGAATAAGTCTCCAAATAAAAATATTAACCTTTATCGGGATAAACTTATTCCACCTAGTAGCAACACCTCCAAATAGAAGAGAAAAAAATATTGTAATGACGAGAATTTCCAAAACAATTTTTCATTTTCAATCATAATAAATTTCATAAGAACAATTTCAAAACCCATTGTATCACATATTAACTCAATAAACAACCCCAGAATCTCAAGTACATAAATCTTCATCAGTGTGTACAGATCATGTCGGCGCCTTCCCGCGATCCTCGCTAGTACCTGAAACACATATCACATAACATGGTAAGCATAAATGCTTACTGAGTTCTCCAAAATACCACATATGTACATACGCCACTCAAGGCTATAAGACCTTCCAGTCACTGTGTCTCAGAGGACTTCCGTCCCACAACCCTGGTAGACCTTCCGGTCCATATCATCATGACCTTCCGGTCCACATCATAATGACCTTCCGGTCCTTCTCATTCGTAACATACATAACACATACATATCATATAACAGCATACATCACATACATCTCATAGCATATAAGACCTTCCGGTCACACATAGGTATCATCCTAGGTACAGTATAGTGAGAAGACTCACCTCGTACGATGTCGGATAATCTCTCCTGCTTGATAACCCGACCTAGCCTCCTCCTATTAACATAATAATATTTCTAATCAATACCTTCTCATGTCCTTACTTCTAAAGGATGGGTAGAAGACCATTCTACCCCTCCCTGATCTCTCATGAACCAGCTTGACCAAAACCCTAAGGTCAACTGAAGTCAACTCCAGTCAACAGTCAAACTTTGACCCGACTCGTCGAGTGCACTCGGGTGACTCGGCAAGTCCAAGCGTGT